TATACTTTTATATATATATATATATATATATACGTATCTCTCTTAGTTACTAAATCCCCAAAGCAAAATAGAGATACTAATACTTTTACGTAATTATATAATTTATATTTTAATATTGAAGATATATCTTAAATTATATTGGTAAAATGACGTGCGCATGATTTCTTCAAGAAATTTCCTATTCATTATTGCTGTTAAAGGCTGCGTCTCTGCGCCTTGTCACTGCCTAATCCTATGGCCTTTTATATAGTGGAACGCAAAATCAGGCGCCGTTTCAGACTCAAATCCAATGGGCCCAAGTTTCAATACTGTCTTACTTTCCTTTTTTGAAACTTGCCTTTTGGATATCATTTACAAATAAAAAAACATTTTGGTACACAAAATTTGTTTCTTAAATTATTATAATCTCAAAATTATGTTTTTAATTTTATTAAATTAAATATTATAAATTAATTATACATTTTTTTATATTTATAATTTTATTAAATTAAATTTGTATTTTACTTATGTGAATATTGTTATAATATATTAAATTAATATTTCTGCGAACAATTTATCTTAAAAGTTATTAAGTTTTATTTTCAGAAAATTAAATAAAAATATTAGTAAAATTAAAAGGGATAAAAAGAAAATAAAAAAGATAGGATAAGAATTTATTATTTTTAAATATAGAATTCCCTTGGTCCTTAAGAAACACTGTTATCAGAATATTTTAATTATCCAAGGCGGATAAGAATACATTTAGAATGTGATCCACAATTTGGTAAATATATATATATATATATATATATTACTACTCTCCCGGATGACAATAGTTAAATTAATAGAATTTCAGTAAATTTATTATATTTATAAAAGAAAAAAATATAATAATTAATTTTTTAAAGAAAAAAATAATTGAAATTATCCTCTCCTCTTTGTTGTACGGGACAATGTTGCCTACTGCTGCTTTTTTAATTTTCTCTCTCCATAAATTTAGAGGCAGTATATGAATGTATTGTTGTATTTACACGTTTGCTGTCACAAAAAATGTAGTAATTTTTTTTCTCGATTGCTCAGATATTTGTGTGTATATACAGGATGGGATGACGTGGCTCTTGAACCCACCCGATCAAAGTCTACCGTTGATTTTAGCCGATCAAGGGTTTGATGTTTGGATTGCTAACACAAGAGGCACCAGATTTAGCAGAAAACACGTGATTCTTGACCCCAGTCAACCGGTATCTCTCTCTTTAATTTAATTAATTATCTAAATACAATTTAATTTTTTTAAAAAAATATATATTATGTGGATTGATATGGCCAGGAGTTCTGGAATTGGTCATGGGATGAGCTTGTGACGTATGATCTTCCAGCAGTTTTTGACTGCGTGTACACCCACACTGGCCAGAGAATTCATTATGTAGGCCATTCTCTGGTAACTTCCCTTCAATTTACTTTTATTATTATTCACACCTTTACACATTTTACTTTTATTATATATTTACTTTTTTAAATTTTAATAAAATTAAACCACAAAAAATAAATTAAAAAAAAAGTATTTTGCCCTAAATATAAATGTGAGGTTTTGATAATTAATAATTTTTTATTTTTTTTTTATATAAGAAATTATAAGTTTAAAATAAATTATATCGTTTCATGTATTTTTTATTAGAAAATTAAAATTCTGTTAACAAATTGTTTCATTTTTTAGTAATTAAATTTATTGTGAGAAACAGGGAACCCTCATAGCTTTGGCATCATTTTCACAAGGGAGACTAGTGGACAAGCTCCGTTCTGCAGCTCTACTTAGCCCCATTGCCTATTTAAATTACATGAACACCGCACTTGGAGTTCTTGCTGCCAAATCCTTTGTTGGTGAGGTCTGTAAAATCATACCCTAATTTATGTAATTAATTATCTAACTAAAACAGTGATTTAATAATTATTTTTATTTTCTCAATTCCCAGATCACTACACTTTTGGGTATTGCAGAATTTAATCCTAAAGGGTATACATCAACATTCGATACTTGTAGTTATATATGTTTATATACTTTTGTGTGTATATATATATATATATATCAATATATTCTAAATATATTCACTATAATTGATTTCTTTTTAATTAACCTTTTGCTGTTTATAGGCAGCCTGTCTCTGCATTTCTCAAGTCTCTCTGCGCCAACCCTGGGGTAAATTGCTATGATTTATTAACCGCAATTACAGGTATTAATTTTATTATCCATTAAAAATTTCTTATTTAGGATTGTTTAGTTTGGAAACTATTTTATTTTTCTTCATTTATAAATTCAATTTGAAACAATGTTTCTAACAATTTTCTGTTTCCTTTTACTAGATACTAGTTTTCTAATGCCATCACACCCTCAAATTTTTCATGCAGTTTATTTTGAGGATATTTTATATATTAATAAATTAAATTTTTAATATTTTCTTCTATTATTATAACAGAACAATTAATTATATATAATAACTAATATATTTCATAAAATAAATATATGCAGATAGATACTTCTTTATTTTCAACACTAGAGAAAAATTTTCTACAACCAAACAGAAGTCTTCTATTTCCAAATTCCAAGTTCAACTAAGATTTTTTCTGTATTCGTTGCCTTGACAAAACTTAGACTAACATTTTTGTTTTCTGGGTTCCGATGTGCGAAAAATTTGAAAGGCAAAAATTGCTGCCTTAATGCCTCCACAGTTAATATTTTCTTAAAGAATGAACCTCAGTCAACTGCCACAAAGAACATGGTACACTTGGCTCAAAGTAAGTTCCTTATAACTATAGCTGTCTTTTTGAAAGTACAATAACTGTCTGTTTAATTTTATGACACTGTAACTATTTCTTGTTCCTGTTTTAATATAGTACTATCTAAGTATTAACCCTCAATTAATCATCGCTAATAAGGAACTAGCAATTCGGCATAAATAAGTAGCTTTTATATTTTTTTCTGATCAAGAAATTCTTAAGCTAAGTTTTGTTTATCGTAAACAAGTTCTTTTCTATGTCAATCGAAAGCAAATCATTTATGTCATGATTAAAAGCTCTAAAAATAAAATTTCGGATGGTACAACACAAAGTCTAACATATGACATGATGACAAATAATCGGCTGATGCATACAAGGTCAAGAATTTCTAACCAAGCACAACTCATTAAGCTAATTTTTGTTTATCAAAATTAAGTTCATTTTTATTTCTACAAAAAAATATCTATGTCATGATCAAAAGTAAAATTTTAAACAGTTCAGCACTATATCTAACACAGAATATGACCACAATAATTGGGCTAATGCATGCTGGATCGAGCATTCCTAACCAAGCATCGGTCATCATGCTCGGACGAGCCTTGGCACTAAGCAAGGCTGAACCAATCTCTCCTTTTTATTTTTATTTTTTATTCAGTCTGACTAATATAATCACTGACTTGACTAACTGTTATTTTGTACATGTACTTACTCTTCTTCACACGAATTCTTTTTTAGTGCTGATTCTTAAACTTTTATTGCAGCTGTTAGAGATAGAGTTATTGCAAAATACAATTATGGCAGACCAGACTTCAACCTGATGCACTACGGTGAGATTACTCCGCCGGTCTACAATCTCTCAAACATCCCTAGCAACCTGCCTCTATTCATCAGCTATGGAGGCGAAGATGCACTCTCTGATTCAAGAGATGTCGCACTCTTGCTGGATAGTTTCAAGTTTCACGAGGAAGACAAGCTTAGCGTCCAGTACATCAAGGACTATGCTCATGCAGACTTTATTATGGGGATCAATGCTAAGGACATTG